ATATTAATATATATATTATAGCAATTAGTTGAAATATGGTTTTTATTTTATTACTCATCGCTCATTCATTAGTTTATGCACTTGTTGCAAAATAATATGTCCACTTCTTAAAGTTTTCTTTTTTTTTTTTTTTTTTTTTTTTTTTTTTTTTTTTAATTTTTTGCCTGCTTTGGCAGCTGTGAAATTGGTTTTTATTTCGTTTGAGTTGTCAAAATGTTTTTATAAAAACCAACTCTATGAAAATCAATTTCATATTCATTTTTTTTAAACTACGATTGGCTTATGTCATAAGGTGTTCTTTATATCCATTGATTTTTATATAAGTTAAGTTACAATTGTTGACATTTTCTCAATTTTAAATGGATTTTCCTTGTCGGTTTAATCGAGCGTTTAATATGCGTGCAAAATATGTTTACTGTTAAAACTAGCATAATGAATATATACATATATATATGTGTATGCACATATTTATGTATATAGCGCTAGTTTCTTCTCAAATTTCACTGTGCTGCTGGTTCATTTAGTTTCCTACTTTACATATACAAATACATGTACAAATATGTCATATATCATATATAAGTATTTAAAATCTTTGCTGCTAGTCATAATCGAGTGTAGTACATAGAAATATATATCATATCTGTATATGTGTATATTGTGTTCGTTATGTATAAGATCTTGCCTTAGGCTAACTACGACAGCTTTGCAGCATGTATGTGTGTAAGTGGGTGTATGAGGCTGTGTATGTGTTCTATGCTGCGCTTGAGAATCTAAGTGTTTTGTTTTCTTTTTTTTTATGATTATGTAAATTAAAATTAATCAGTGCATTGCGCTCTGTCGACAGGCAGTTAATAAGTTAATAACTAACAAATTAATAAAATATATATATTTCTTCAAAAAATACACAAATTTAATACCAAAATTATTGTTGCGCCAACGCTTGAAATACGCTAGGGGCTGTTAAATGTGTGTGTGTATGTGTGGGTTTTAGTCTGAAATTTACACAAAAATTACATATGCTCGCTAAATATGTGTTATATATACATTACGTGTGTTTAAAAATAAACACACTGAATTTTGTGTTTGCCCGTAGAGAAAACCCGACAAAAATGTACATATTAAAATGAAAAAGTTTTGCATAAATTAGGAATTTAAATTCGATTTTTTGTTTGTTTCGTTTACTTTTGCTTAAGGCGTCGAGAAATATGCTAAAGGTTTTTATCAAAATGTACAAAGCTTCTGATTTTTTACAATGTGTGTGTACATACAATAAAATATCTCAATTTACATGTAGTGTGTGTGGGTGTGTCTTAACATGTTTGCATTTCAAGCCGCGCAGTATTTGTTTATGTTAAAAATTAAAATGAAAACACAATTTAAAAGCGAGCGAGCTGCTGCGTCCAGTGGCCATTCAACTGTAAACCAAAAAACGCGCAAGCAGTGCATATTTTTCCACTGCATGCATCTGCACTGCTTGGCGCGTAACCGCCGCTACAGCTTGGCGCGTGAATAAAAAATGTTTCATATATGTATAATTTCTAATATTCTTATTTGTATGCAATATAAAAGGTGGGCGAACTAAACAATGACTTACAAGTGGTCTTGAAATATTTAATTGTATTTATGCTTTTAATCAATTGGTTTTACATTCGTGTTTGTGAGTGAGTTGCTCGTTAAAAAGTAAATATATTTATATATATGCATATCTTTGAAAAATCATAACTAAAAGAAACTTAAAAGTGAAGTCATAAATCAGTAATCAGTTAAATCTTAGCAGCTAAACAAAAGAGTTCGGATCGACGGCTCGAAGAAGCGCGTTTCTATATATATATATATAAATACAAATTTATGTGAGAGTTGTGTGTGTGGGGCGCTTAAAATCAAAACAATTTACAAAATACAAATATGAATGTAAATATAT